GTAGATATATATATAGAGGCACTAGAAACTCAGAAACATAGGGTCAATTTCAATGGAAAGGAAAAGACAATAAACATTAGAAAAATCTTGCTACCTGCCCTTAATTGTACACATACAAACTCATTTAATGTAATTGAGAGAAACAAAGCCTCGCACCCCAATGATTATATAACATCGGAGACAAATTCCAACATTATAGTTTCTGGGTTGAGAACAGCTCGAGCACTTCAACTATTAACTCATCGCCTTTGATAATGTCTACCACAGTAGTAGAGGAAACGTCAGGCATAAAACCTGCAGACCACGGCCAAAAAACCCGGAAAATAGTTGACTTGATGTTTCTGAAATATATTAATATACACACCTGATATAACGTTATATCCGATATCTTGATAAGCTTGCGTAACATTTCTCGACGCACTGTCGATTTCTAATCCTCCATATCCATGGATCACTATTTTCAGTGGATTCAGGACATTGTAGCCCTGCGGTAAAAGTGGTCGATGAGGATCTAGATGATGATTCGAGTGATTATTTCCTCCCACGCTCAAAATGAACTTGACAATGTTTGTATTGCAAGGTTCCTCGAAGTAGACAGGACATTCTCCAAGATAGAACTGAAGCGAAAATGTAGTGTCTAAAATTTCTGGAAAATTACGATAAAATTTAGCTTACAGAAGAATGTTGTTGAAAATTCAATTCAGAATCAGAATGAAAAAACTACTTCAGTTTATCTATATATGGCCACTTTATATACGAGTAGGTACATACTAGTAATACGAGAAGTTTCAGTATGGGTTAATGTCTTCGAAGTCAGTGAAAATAGAAAAACGAAATTTTGGCAATGACATATGTACAAAGAAATCTACTTCTTTACGCGTTCCCAACTTTTTCAGCCTTGCATTGACGGCACCAGGGCACTTCACCCCAAAATTTCAAATGAAACCCAATATTTCTCCACAAACTAGAGGTCTGTGCAAATACCATTTCCAAATGAAAACGATTTCGAGTAATCCAACAAGAAAACATTCTTCTTTATCGTCACGTTTTGTAAATTCTATTTTTAAACGAATTGTTAATATCTCAATTTGAGTTTCTAGCAGTACTCGTTGATTCAGTTTTTTTTTGACACTAACATTAAAAAAGCATTGGTAAATTTTGTGATTTTATTTCGATAGAGTCCACTTGAATAAATACTTTTACCATCAATGCTGTTGTTCCCAAGAGATCCATGTTCTCTCCAACCCTCTTTTTATTGTGTATTAACGACTCATTGAAAAAAAAACAAGAATCCAATATATTGCTTTGCTCGACAGCACACTTGTCTCGTCATTTCATGTGGAATCCAGGACATCGGCTCCTGGATGCACGTCTTCACCTGCAGCAGGAGGTTGCATATCTTAATGAGGATCTAGAAGTAATTTGAATTAGGGTGAAACTAACTAGGTTCAATTCAATGCCACAAAAGCCCAGGCATCGGCTTTCTCCAAGAAAATAAATGTCTCCGAACTGGATATAATAATGTCAGGAGAGACAATTCCGCTTTCTACTTGTATAAGTTTGTTGGCACAATCATGTCGCTGGAACTGCAAAGGCTGCTTCTCAAAAGCTTGGAACACTGCTCCGAACCAGAAAACTGTACACACCTCAGCAACTTTTGATGCTTTATAAAGCTCAGATCAGACCCTCTTTGGAGTATTATTCCCATGTTTGGAGCTCCCCTCCTAAGCTTACCCTGAAGCTGCTGGATTCCACCCAGAAAAAAGCCATCCGTCTGATTGGAGACGCGAACATCACTTGCAACCTTGATAGTCTGGATCATCGAAGAATGGTTGAGGATTTGTCTCTCTTCTATAGATACTTTCATGAGAAGTGTTCAAGTGACTTGGTACATTTTATTCCACCAAGAGCGTTACATATTAGAAATACGCGACGAACTGAGGCTGCTCATCGTTTCGAGGTTCACCTCAATACACCTCGAACTTCACTGTTTGAGAACGCTTTCATTTGGATTTTCCTGTAATGCTTGTATTTTGGCTTCAAAAATTTGAATGATTTTATTTTATGGGCAAGATAATTGAGGGAGCTTCAAATTCAAGTTTTGGAAATCGTCATTGTTCAACCCAAGAAATCAATGCGCACAATAGATGCCGCTGTAGGTACAGACAAATCGACTGTGCTAGAAATTTTGAAACAGCAGAAATTCCATCCGTTCAAAATCAATCTCGTTCAAGAACTGAATGAATATAACCGAGATCAAAGATTCGGACACCCGGTATATCTCAAAATATTATTTTTCAAAATGACCTAATAAAATATAAAAAGTAGTTTAAACTAATCGAAAGCACATGGTTATTTCTAAGAGAGTTAGATTTTTTGCATATTCTGCACTAGTGTAAAAGCAATATTAAAGAAAACATGTATTAATAGTGGATTCTAAGTTTGAAATATTTTCATCGAAATCATGGGACCAGTTCAACATTGAGTGCAATTCATTTAATTGAAGTCTCATGTCAATGCTCTCTTATTCATTGCATTTTTCATGTGATTTCTTTGTAATTTCAATATTTGCAAAGAAAGTAGTTATTTGAAATGTTATCCATCTTAAGGGTTGGGTTATATCTGTACAGGATAGCTGTTATAACCCATCAAAGTATAGTTTTATCCAAATTATTCTACAGTCCTCAATACTGGAGTTTTTGTCCAATACCAAACCGTTATTTTAACACCTCGATACGTGTTTCGATCACCATCGATCATCTTCAAGAGGAAGATCAAACTGAAGATCAAATAGTTTGATCTTTCTTTTGAAGATGATCACTTGGTGATCGAAACGCGTGTCGAAGTGTTGAAATAACGGTTTGGTGTAGGGAAAAAACTCCAGTAATATTCATCACTACCCCTAAAGTTCCAAACACTCATCATCACAAATACTCAATACAATAGTTGCTTACATCGAGTATATTCCAAAATAATTCAAGAATGAAATTATTTCTGATCACGAAATATGATATAAGTAGTTATCAAAATATATTTAATTTTATCTGTACTCCCTGAATACCCTTTACGAATGCATTTGGTACACTTGTAGAAGTTCAAACAGTTGAAATTAAAACTATGATATTATTATCAATTCGTATTCTTACCAAATGTAACTAATCCTAACCAGAGTGGAATCCTTAATAACATTTGTATTCCTTAACAACGAATTTAGTAACACTAAAACACTGAATCGATTAAGGCACTAATTCATGATTTAGTAGTGGATCTCCTGGGAAGATAGATCACAAAATCAAAACTGAAATTATTCAATAAGTAGTTAGTACTATTTTGAAAGCTTTAAATCGCCTAAGCACCGCACAAACTTGAATTAGTTGGTATTGACATACGCACCAAGTATGCACTGATTGTTAAACAGAAGAAAGTCAAATCAATTTGTCGAAACTGAAATATCCTTGGTTCACAGTGTCAAGAACTGTTGAATATTCCAAAAGGGTTGCGCCTCCTGTCCGAAAAGGAAAGTATTTCGTAAGTGATTCAGTTGTAATAAGAATAATTGAATGCAATTATTCTATTTGTTATATAATCCTTGTTTGGTATGTATTATAAGTGGGCTGTGGTGATTATAATATTCGGATTAGTCCAGATTGATTTAAATGAATCGCAAGTACAATACTTGTTTGAGATGAAAGTTGCACTAACTTGATTTGATCGATAGTGTGAGAGAACTCCATGTGAATGTTCATACACCAAGTCTTCTAATCTTCATAGATAAATTCTGTGAAAAACGGTAAACTAGTTTACTGTTATGAAGCAGACTATACTTCTGAGGAAAATGAAAATACCAGAAAGGAATTGAGTACTAACTTGGATAAATATACATTAAAGACGTAGCGGAAATGTAATTTCTGTAACGAGTTAGCTTATTGGAATTGATTGTTTTCTTTCTTTCTTTGAAAGATTCCCATATTTTTATGTATGAAGATGGTGAAGTAGAATGTCAAAACCTTTCTTTCCCAGAAGTTAAACAAAGTTCCTATAGCTGAGATTCAATCACTGGTAGATTAAACTCATTTGTGATATAATGTTATTCAGATTTGGTGCTGAAGAGACGATAAGACAAGTGTCTTAAGCCGAAACATCGGATGTCCACCAGTGAGGATGACAGTGTTCCATGTAAGGAATTTTACCTCTTTCATTTACTATATTGTGTAGCAATCCTGTGAATAATATCTGATTCAATTCCTAATCGAATGTTTGGAATACAAACTGAAAAGAGAAAATTGTTTTCGTATAATTCAGTGTTCATATAAATGTATTTGTTTCCAAAGTATTTTTATTTCATGTAATACATTGTGTATATGAAAGTACCTGTTTTGAGAGGGCTTTTTTCTTCAGTTTGTGTCAGAAAGTTACTCCTCTGCATGATCTACAAATATTCTTGTAAATTAAATTCTTTGAAATTGATTGCTACTTTATTTTCTTCTAAATATTCTCACATTTTTTGTATGAAGATGGAGAAGTAGAAAGCCAAAACCTTTCTCTCCCAAAAACTAATCTCTTCTAGAAATATACCTCTTTTAATTCAATAGCAAATTAAAAACAGTGTTCCTCAAGGTTCAATATTGGGTTCAGCCTGGGGCTTGAACCACCGACCAACACGGCGATCGATTTGAGTGAGTGAAGAAACCACCCACGTCGAACCGACCGGCTACCGATTGAATTTGAAATAAAAAAGATGATAAACAGAGGTTGCATCTTTTGATGCAACTAACTGATTTTCAGCCTTTCCCCTTTCAGTAAATGTTCACATTTATTTTTTGTATCATTTTAGGAATAAAGACCTATTATTATTATTATTATCTGCGGGTATGTTTTAATGAGCATATATGTTGGATTCCAATTTGAACACTGACAAAGTCATTTGACATTGAGACTGAGAAATCTTCATACACGTCAACTTTAGTTTTCAGTGGAGACACATTCCTACACAAAATGGAGACTAGTTGAGACATCGTTTTAATCAAGCTAACCAACCGGAACAAAAACAGGAACATGCCAAGGATCACGAGAAACCCTTCGTGTCATGTGTTTTCAATGCATTGCAAGTTGAAGATTCTACCAAAAAGCTTGACTCAACCTGTGAACATGGACATACAAGCCAATGACGACTTCATTCAAGAAGAGCGGGTGATCTTTCGGGAACTTACCTGCTAGTTACTGTGATTGAGTAAAACACTCATTCCCTGTAATACTTTGGCAGAGGAATGTAAATTTATGTTTCATTTTTTTTAAGGCAAAACACAAGCACTACAGAAAAACCCTTGAGGCGCTCTCAGAGCGGTGCGAAAGTAGCGAAAGTACGGGTATACCGAGTTGAACCTCAAAACGATGAGTAACCGCAGTCCGTTGTGAATTTCTGATATGTACCGCTCTTGGTAGAATCAAATGTGCCAAGTCACTTGAACACTTTCCGTGAAAGTATCTATAAGAGAGAGACAAATCGCCAACCTTTCTTCGATATTCCAGGCTATCAAGGTTGCACGTGATGCTCGCGTCTCCAATAAGGCTAATGTCTCTTTTCTGGAATGCAGCAACTTCAGGGTGTGTTTGGGAACAGACTTCCATACGTGAGAACAATACTCCAAAAAATGTCTGATCTGAGCTTTATAAAGCATCAAAAGTTGCTGAGGTGTGTACAGTTTTCTGGTTCGGAACAGTGTTCCAAGCTTTTGAGAAGCAGCCTTTGCAATTCCAGCGACGTGATTGTTCCAAGACATATTGGTGTCTATTTTAACCCCCAACAAACTTATCGAAGCAGAAAGCGGAATTGTCTGACCCAGTATTATTACATCCGGTTCGGAAACATTTGTCTTCTTGAAGAAAACAGAATTGTGGCATTGAATTGAACCTGGTTACTTTCACCCCAATTCGAAATCACATCTAGATCTTCATTAAGATATGCAACCTGCTGCTGCCGGTGAAAATGTGCCTCCGTAGCCGATGTCCTGGATTACAAATGGAATATGACGAGACAAGTGAGCTGCCATCAGCAAAGCAATATATTGGATTTCTGGTTTTTTCAAATAAGTCGTTGATAAACAATAAAAAGAGGGTTGGAGACAATATGGATCCCTGAGGAACACCAGCGTTGATGGTGAAAGTATTCGAGAGATATCCATTGACGGCCACTTGCAGGGAACGTTCTTTCAGGAAGCTGAAAAGTCATACACAAAAATGATCCGACAAGGCATAGCATCGAAGTTTAACCAGCAAACCGTTATGCCACACACGGTCAAAGACCTTAGAAATATCAAGCGCAACAGCTCTTGGTTCTTCATGTTTCTCGATTTCGTTATTTCAAATATGGGTGACATACGATAGAAGGTCGCCGAAAGCCATATTGATGATCGTTCAAGATGTTGGAGCCTTCCAAATATTTGAGGATATGGTGGTTTACGACTTTCTACATGATTTTTGATATCATTCATAGCAAAGCGACTGGTCTATAGTTATTTGGAAGATTTGTCTTGCCCTTTTTGGAAATAGATTGAACGCGAGCAATCTTCCAACAAGAAGGAAAAAACCCTTTCTTGTAAGACAGGTTGAAAAGTCTGCAAAATACTGGTTCGAGTTCATTTGCGCACTTTTTAAATACGATGACGGGCACTTCATCAGGGCCAGACTCCTTGTTTATATTGAGCTGTGTCAAAATTCTCCTGACTAGACGCTGTCGAAAAGTAATTTCCGGCATTGTGGATTCTAGTGGGTGGTGTCTTTCTCAGTAAATCGACCGTGGAGTGGGACGCAAATTGTTCAGCTAGTAGGCTGTTATTGCAATTCGACCATCCACTTGTGTTAGTGGTGAAATTTTTGATTTTGTAAATATCTGATTAACAGTTTAGCTACCGACTAAGCAGTTTATTCCCAATTCTCTGATTGTGAAGTTCTTTGCTTGCATTTATCCTAAGTTTGCAGCTGTGCGAGCACTAACAAACCTACTACGGTTTTCGGCCCTGGAATTTTTGCGCCAGTGCCGCGGTAGGCGAGATTTTTGGAGGCGACAGCTTGCTCGCAATTTTTGTTGAACCAAAGTTTGCTGTTAGAAAGTCGTTTCATTGAAAAAGGCATATATGCTTCGTTGGATGATACAATAACTTCTGCGACTTCAGAAGCACAAGTTGATGGATCTTTAGAGCTGAAACAAACATCTAGCCAGGGGAAATTTCGAAAATGGTCGGGAGTGGAAATCATAACCGAGATATAGAAAATTGACGGCGTTTGTTGAAGCAGTGACTTTGGTTTCTGTGAGTGCAAAAATATGATGACTATTTGATTGCAGATGTTGGTGCACTGAGTTTATATTTGAGTTGAGTCCTCTAATGTTGCAGAAATCGATTTTGAAGTTTTTGAAATGAATTGTTATTGATGTTCATATAACGACTTTACTCGTGTACAGTTTAATTTCGGTTTTTGACTGACAGTTATAATGTTATGTGACGTTTATTATCACAATGATTAAACACATCGACTATTAGTATAGAAAGTGATTACGAGTATTACAGCTGAACTATACCACAAAAGCATTATTTTAACTGGTTAAAAATATTTCTTATCATTTGGTGCTGAAGCAATCAATATCATAACCACTTTTTAAGGACAAAACAGAAGCACTACAGCACTTAAAGCGCTCTAAGAGCGGTGCCTGTACGAATGTAGCGATTCACGTTGAATTTGTATCGCTGGGGATTAAATTCTCAGGAAGTGAGATGAACTTCAATGAAATGATCTACAATCAATATTATTTTCGGTCAGTTTTTGCAGAGGGAATTAATGAATCTATTTTTATTTTTCATGTTTCTTAATTTTTCTTCAGTTATACTTAGAGGTATATCTTGTCGAAATGATTAATCCCCTGAAATTACGTATTCATCTAGGATTTCTCTCAGAGGATTCAGTTCCATTATTATTATGTACATCAAAAAACAACTACATCGTTGGTGCCACAGTTATTACGTGACTATTTAATGTGTTGTTGTTACGAACATTTTTTTAAAATCTACTCTAAATGTCATACATTTTCTCTTAACAATATAAAATATTTCATTCACGTTTCGAAAAATTTACGATTCACTCAAAAAATCAATATCGTTGCCTTCCGAGGAAAATACTTCGTCGATTCAACTATTAACAATTTTCTAAATTGTAATATCCTCGTAAAGAATGTCGTCACTGGTCTTGAAAATGTTTCCTTCTACGTGTGTTGACTTAAATTAATGATAATATAATCCATATTTGAAAATAACTTCACTCTGAGCAATTTTTATTGCATCCAAATAACTTGAAGTTATCGTTATCAATTGCAACCAGCCTTGATATCATTCAATCTACAGATCATTGAAAATTGATCTCTTGAAACACGCATAAATGTCGCAAATTTGAAGGTATACGGTTCATAACTTCATTTATCGCTCCAATAAATTTCCTGATTAGGATTGACCCAAGTGGAAGAAGTGAGAAACGAATTGAGTGTGTTTGGGGTATTTACACACACTTTTTCACAGGAACTAGTTCTTCGGCTTATTCAAAGAATTATAACAGTACCGTGACGCTTTGGAATGAAACATTTGAAGAATAATGATAAGTGCCATACGAGACTAGAGTTCTAAAAGAATAAAAAAGTGAGCGGAGTCAGTAAACGATACCGTTTTTAAATTTGATACAGTGACTTTTGTTGGTTTCCTTTTGATTTGGGTCGATATGTGTTGAAATCTGAGTGCGATGTGGAAAAAATTGTTCATTTTTGGATTAACCTTGCAATGTGAGTCAAGCTCTTTCATCCATCACGAAATCAAATATTACATAACAAAACAGACTTTTGCGGTGTTACATATCATAATGCATGGAAATGTTGAGTTTTCAGGATATAAAAAAATCAGAATCAATTTAGATGTATTCATATAATACAGCTATTTGATAGAAAATTATTTTACTTGGTTACGAAGACTTTTAGGAAAAAAAGTTATATGAAGTACTGGTGATATTTTGACCCCATCTATACATTCCCGAATTCCCGAGAGGAAAAGAGGAAGTCCAGGGACACCCTGTATAGCAAAATACGTGTTGCAGTTTTTGTTAAACTTGTTATATAGTGAAAATTTTACAGTGAACTGCTTCTATACTAAAATTCCGTAATAGTAGACATTAAATTCTCAGGAATATCATTGTATTAAAACGAAAACATTGTTCCCGTGTTGTGATTCTATATATTTTATCATCTTCTATTCAAATCATACACACGCAGCTAATTGATCATAAAATAATGGACGTGTTTTATTCATTAATGAAATTTCCTGAGAATTCAGTGCCTACTATTCTGGAATTATAGTATAGTAAGTTCGAATAATTGATAATTGTCATATAAATGTTGGATGTTTTTGATTTTTCATTATAAGGTACATACAGTGTGACCAGTGAAGTCCGCGTCAAATGGATTTTTTAAATGTAATTCATGTCTTTCTGCTATAAGGTGGTTTGCAAATGTGGAATTGGTCTTTCTATTTACAAAATGACTTTCATGGTCTTCAATTCTTTGAGAAAATGTTCTTCCTGTTTGGCCAATATGCAGTTTTGGGCAAGAGCCACAAGTCAGCTTATATACTCCTGATCTATAGATCTATAGATAGATACAAGAATAATTCTCACTTGATGTGGAAAATTTTAAAAACCCTTGTTAATAGTAATGATCATACATTTCCTAACCTAATCCAATTTGAAGATGAAGGGGTAGTAATTACTAAAAAAGGTGAACCTGACATGGCCGAACCTTTCAATCTATACTTTGTAAACAGCATCCAACATATAGTCCAAGGTATTGAGAATTCCGAACCACGGTTCAATTTGGATAATAATTTATATTTGCTCTTCAGCACCTTCAGATTGATTACCTTAAGAGATTTGAATGATATAATTGGATCATTAGATAATAAATGTAGTATCCATGAAATCTTGAATTCTAAAATGTTAAAGCAAGTATTTGAAACAGCAAATGCAATCCTCAATTTAATCAATACATCGCTCCAGAATGGTCAATTGCCCGGATTATTAAAAATAAGTACCATTATATCCATACCTAAAGTTACAAACACTATAAAAGCAAGTGAATTTAGACCTATTAATACCTTACCGCCAATAGAGAAAGTCTTAGAAATAGCAGTATATAATCAATTATTTATTAACAAAAATCAAATCATGTTTAGCAATTAATCTGGTTTTCGAAAAAAACATTCTTGCGAAACAGCACTACAGTTATCATTAACTAAATTTACTAATGAAACAGATAAAGGTAAATATGTTGTAGCTGTCTTTTTAGATTNACGTTATCGCATCTTGAATTTGGGTAGACCAGGTCCATGGCTTGCTATTGTAGTTTTTTGGAAAGAATGGAGTCTATATTTACTTAATAACCGTTGTTAACTGCAATTTGTTTGATTAAACTCAGCTCTCTCTGAAAATTACTCTCAGACAGTGGAATATTCCATAGTCTGTGAAGCATACTATTGAATGCAGCAGCATTATGCTAGTAAGGGTGTGTGAAGGAATTATGTATGATAATGTCCGTGTACGATGGTTTGTGGAAAATTGCAAATTCATGTTATATTTAGCATTGAATATGTAGAATTAGTTAGTAAAGACACGCCCGAAAAAGTTCAGTGAAAATCTTACAATAAAGTGTTTTTTGAATACGTTAGTTATGGATTTTCATCAAGTATTGACCAATTCCATCATATATCTAATAAATCTTTCGAAAACTATTATTGAACGATCGTCAAACTTTGAAGTACTTACAAAAGTAAATGATTATCCACCGAAATTATTTCAAACTATTTTCATGGGGTTACTTCGAATCATTCCGAGGTCACCTGAAATATTATTGATTCAAATACAGTACACAGATTCAATAAAATAAAATGAACTAGTCCTACGCTATATCAGTTAGCTGCTAGTCTGAAAATGTTATTCAATTTTTCAGAGTTGACTACTACCATCAGGAAATATATCATAATATATTATCTGAAAACTTAAAGTAATACTTTATTATTCTTTCGCCTGTAGTGCTCTTGAAATCGGAAAGTCATCTACAGCATGAATTTTAAAAATACTATCTAATGTTGACTCGAAAATTCAACATGGACTTGATATTTTCAACGAAAACAGTATATACGCAAAACTGTTGGTTTTGAAAGCTGGGTTTGCAGATAAAAAAACAAACTTGATCGAGATCAAATCTATATAGGCAAATTGAAGTGATGTTCTCAAACAGAGGCGTTTTTACGGAAGAGCCTGAGTCATCAGACACTGGCGGCTATTCTGACACAGACTGAAAAAGTTTTATATTAACGGAGACATGTTTGGACATTTGGTAGATCTAGGCTCAGCTCGCTTAAAGATAGCAGGGTTCTAGGCAAACCTGCTTGGCCCAAAAATCACCTCGGTTGTCAGAAATATCTTGTTGATAACTATTACGAATAATCTATCAGCCCTATCTCAAAGAATATCTTCAACTATCAATCCCTTGATAACAAAATTGTCACTGTTGAGTGGTTTCGGTTTATCTTCTTGTCCCGAAATTTCATACTCATTCATGGATTCTCAATCGTAGCTCATAAGTAAAACCACACTTGGTCTTTTCATGAACTGGTAATTCGAAAGACCAAATAAAATGACGTATATACTGTTTCAAATAGAACTGGATGATTTAAAATGGGTGTATTAGGTACTTGTAAAATATGTAATAGGTACTGATAGAATGTTCAACCAATTATACCCTTAAAATACTAATAACTTATGTATTTAGGTATATGTAAACTTTGTGTCATTTCAGGTGTTTATCTACAAATAGTACCTGATGATATTGACTACACCAACTTTCCTTTGCCACAGAGTCTGAACCTCTCAGAAATGGAAATGCAAGAAACTAGACAAGCTTTCACTTTTGGGAACTGCAAGATGGTTTATAAGCCGTAAGAGTCTAAAAATTACTTCAATCTTTTATGTTCAAAGCAAATCATTCTATAGAATATTTACCAATATCCAATCAAACACTTTGCCCAATCGCCATAATGAGATGAGATCTCTCTTCACCTCCTGAGATGAAGATGAGATTTCTCTTCATCTCCTAAAGAAGCCAACTGGGCTGGTGAAACACGTGTCGAGAAAATTATTTTTTTAAGGACAAAACACGAGCACTAAAGAAAAATTTTTAAGGCGCTCTGAGAGCGGGGGCCTGTGTGAAAGTAGCGATGTACGTTGGATTTACATCGCTGGATTCATTTGGAAACACGTTCTCAGGAAGTTTATTCCACATAAAATCAGTTCTACGAATAGAAGAGTTTTCGAACAGTGAAATTCGAGGTGTACTGAGTTGAACCTTAAAACGATGAGCAGCCACAATTCATCGCGTATTTCTGATATGTACCGCTCTTGGTGGAATCAAATGTGCCAAGTCACTAGAACACCTTCTGTATCTCTAAAAAAGATAGACAATTCTTCAATCTTTGTTCGATGTTCCAGAATATCAAGGTTGCAAGTGATGTTCTCGTCTCCAATCAGGTGTATGGCCTTTTTCTGTATGAAATCCAGCATCTAAAGGGTATTTAGGAGTGGACCTCTATACATGAGAGAAATACTCCAAAGAAGGTCCGATCTAAGCTTTATAAAGCATCGAAAGTTGCTGAGGTGTTTACAGTTTTCTGGTTCGGAACAGTCTTCCAAGCCTTTGGAATTCCAGCGACATGATTGTGCCGAGACATATTGGTGCAAAGTAGAAAGCGGAATTGTCTGTTCTGACATTATTATATCCAGCTCGGAGACATTTATCTTTTGGGAAAAAACCGATACCTGGGTATTCTTGGCATTGGATTCAACTTGGTTACTTTCACATTTTCGGTGATCGGGAAAAGTGCTTGTTTTGGATATATTTTCTGCTAGAGGCTTCAGTTTTACTCTTTAATACCTAATTAATATTCGTTGATGTTTTATAAGTCTCTAGCTTCCACAATCAGAAAAATAAGTGAATATAGGACAACAATCTGCTTAAATAGAAGAAAGGGCAAACTGAAAAGTTCACTACCAATTAATATTGTTTGATTTTATAACAAAAGAAGATAAGAAATGTACAGTCACTGATATGTAGATATAGTAACCGCCAACTAACATGAGATTTTGAGGCGCATTTAAAAACAAATTGTACCCGCCCCAGAAGATTGCTAGATAGAATTTATAATGTATATAAAATAAACTAATAATATAATGGGTGTTACTTTTATAAGTCTATTGTGCGTTGATAAATTGGTCACTGACAGATCTACAGGGTTAACTAGAGTAATATTCAATAAATATTATTGAAATGTAATTTAAAGTTAGTTACCTGTTGCTGGCGATGTTTAACCTTTCATCATTAACAAAGTGTCCAATTCACCCTTTCTACTGTCAACGTAATTATACACATTCATTATTACACGTTTTTTTCTCACTCATTTCAAAGTTATAAATATGACTTATTAACATATAACTTCGCTCACGACTCAAATTGTAACTTAAATCTTAACTCAAGACTATCCACATTCACTTCTGGCTGTTGCGCTACTGCCAATGCAAAATATGACTTAAGTTAAATCATTTTATTTGGCTAGTCAACTATATTTACTTGCATTTTGACTATGAATTTTAATACTTACCAAAAATAAAAATGAATACGTATCTAAAGTAATATTTTCGAATGAAAGATTTAATGGTTTTCATATTGCTTCATAAATGCAAATACGAGGTATTCAGAAAGAGAACTAAGTTTCTTCTAGTATACTGTAGTACACAAAACGCTGAATTTTGTAATCAATGATTACGGAAGCACAGAATTGCCACATATTTCTATTATTTGTTTCATGAAAATTACGACTTTAAAATTCGAAATTTCCATTTCAATCTCGACTTTGATCTCCAAGTTACTTCAATCTCGTAATTTCGAAATTACGAATTTAAAGTCGAAATTTCAACCTTGATCTCAAAATTTTGACTTCAATCTCGAAATTACGACTTTAAATTGGAATTTTCCACTTTAGTCTCGTTATTTCAAAATTATGAATATTAATTGAAGTCAAAATTTCAAAATCAAAGTAGAAATTTCGAGTATAAAGTCGTAATACTGAAGTCGTAATTTCGATACTGAAGTCGAACTTTCTAGTTTCAAAGTTGCAATTTTCAAGAAAAAAATAATATAAATATGTTTTCCTTCTGTGCTTCGGTAAATGTTTGATAACCGGTTACTTGATGTTTAACATCAACTTATATTAGTGTCAAGTAACGACATATTCATTTGTCATCGAGGTAGTCCTCTAAAATTCATTTCAAGAAAGAAACATAAGATTTACACTAATACTATCATTCCAAAAAGGTTTTTCAGAAATAACGATACTGAACAGGTTTTTTAAAAGTATCAATCCCTGAACGAAATATTAAAAATGCAGTAATCGATTTCTGTAAAAAAGCATAATCATCATATCTGAAATATCCTGTATAAAAATATGTTGTTATTTCAAAAATGCAATTCGAAGAACTCAAAACTGCAACCGTTAAGTATCCTTATAATATTACCTTGGCTTTTTTCAGAATTTGTCCAGATCCAGACGTAACTTTTTTTCTTTATACAAAAAGAAATCCTGAGAATCCGGAAGCTTTGAGAATCGGTTCCGATTCAACAGTTTCTAATTTGAAGGAGACTTCATTCGATGCGTCAAAACCCACAAAAATCATCATCCATGGCTACAATTCGGACATGAACCTGAATGCATTAGTTGAAATAAGAAAAGGTATAGTCACTCAATCCAATTATTGTTGAAATTTGTTTATTCTAATGTTTTTGTAGAGTATTTGAAAACAAGAGACTATAATATCATCACGGTAGACTGGAGCCCTTTGAATCAAGCACCCTGCTATTTGAGTGCTTTGATAAATATTCGTCATGTAGGAAGTTGTTCTGCTCAACTTGTGGTTAGATTATTAGAGCATGGAGCCACTGATATTCACGTCATTGGATTCAGTCTTGGTGAGTTGAAAGCAACATGCATACAAACCTTGGTGTTTGTATCTACCGATTCGCTTTTGTTTCGTCTAAAAATTTTCGACGTTGTACATGTGTTGATAGATGGTGCAAAAATCCAAATCAGACTCACATATTATGTTCAAATCTGTAATTTATGAACCATAATGAAAAATGAATTTATCACCTAACATCAATGTTTTCCCAAATGTTAAAAATATTTAAAATTGAAGTGTCAACTTGACGTCGTCAAGTATTGTCACTTGAGGTATACTCAGCACCTCTGTGAGTGGAATGTTGAAATTTATTGAATCTCTTTGGTTAAAAGTGAAACCCTCATATTCTCTGAAAGACAATTTTTGTCTAAAAGTCTAAAAGTCAATTTTCTGATTCATTCGGCCGTTACTTATTGAAGATTTATAGCAATTCCAAAAACTATATCTCACGATTTGATCTCCACAAACTTTATTAGAAAAATATATCACATGTTTCGCTAACAGTAGCTTTATCAAATCATGGTTACCATGGCCTAAGCTTTAAATTTAGTTCTAGCAGATTTTTTTCAAGACATCATTCCATTAATGATCTTATAAAAAGAGCTCTAGCCACTGCAGAGGTTCCTTCAGTTGTTGAAACCTTTGGTGTTAGTCGAGATGATGGAAAGCGTCCAGACAGGATGAGTCTAATTCCTTGGAAATTTGGATAACCTCTGGTTTGGGACTTCACCTGCGTGGATACAGTTGCAGCTTCACACCGTACGTCTAATTCCACTGCTGCAGCTGCTATAATTGCAGAAAAATCAAAATTTGGAAATACTCCACTTTGCTAAGTTCCTACTATTTCTTTCCTGTTGCAATTGAAACCTTTGGTGTTTTTAGATCTCATGCTTCTAAATGGTTGAAAGAAATTGGTAGAAGAATGATGAATTCTACCAATGACAACGAAGTCCATTCATTTTTAATTCAAAGAATCAGTATCGCCATTCAAAGGGGTAATGCCACATCGATATTGGGTACTCTTCCGTCTACTCGAAAATTAGATGAAATATTCCTGAACCCACAAATCAAATCAAGATTGTCTATGAACAACGCAAAATGGAGTAAGCAGATTGATCATTTCCCAATTGTCTCAAAAGAAGCAGAGGAAAATAAGCAGGTTCTGGAATTATCTTTCCCGCACAAATTCGAAAAAACCACCATGAATATATCTAATTAAGTTTCAAGCAATTCATATTCCGTTGGTTAAATGATGGAGAGAATCATCGCATCCATGATTACTGGAAAAAAAAATGGCGGTGGCGAACTTTTCACCAACAGCTACAACACAAGTAGATCAGTGATACATATTGGCAACACCTGTTTTATGAACAGTGTAATCCAATGTTTATCAAATACGAGATGGTTACTGGAATATTTGAAAAAGGATGAATACCTTCATGAAAGGTATCAATACTAATAATTTTAGTACGGAGGGTGCTTTAATCAAAGCTTTCGCAGAAGTTATCATGGAATTGTGGTCAGACGATTCATCTGATTCCTTAAGAAGTCAGATTCAGAGTTTTCGTTATCTTTTAGAAGGTTCACATGATGACGTTAATAGAATTATTGAGAAACCTAAACCGACCTTAACGGAGATTAACTAAAAATTTAGCGACAGCGGGAAAGCACAAGATTCATGGCTGATTTATTTGAGTACATATAACTCTAAAATTGTAAAAAAAATTCGTTGGTCAATTAAAATCCACGATGAAGTGGATACACTGTGGACACTCATTTGTAACCTTCGATCCTTTCTAGGATTTGTCACTCCCCATACCACAAAGAACTGGCCAATTGAGTTTATCACAATGCTCGGATTTCTTCACAAGAGAGGAAACTTTGGATGGACATAAAAAACCGACGTGTTCGAGTTGCAAATGAAGAAGAAAATGCACAAAGTCTCTATTGATCCATAAGTTTTCTCGTATTTTGGTTATTCATTTTAAAAGATTCTCTGTAACAGAAAGCTTTAGAGACAAGTTGAATATTACCATCGAATTTCCTCTAGATGCAGCAGACAACGTGACTCCTTGTCGTTATAATCTATATGCACTTTCGAATCACCTACAGCACATTATACAGCATTCTGCAGACATCCCTATACTGGCACGCAGCACGAATACAACGATTTACCCCTGTCACCGATTTCACCAAAATCGCTTGTGAGTGTAGATGCCTACATCCTCTTTTATGAAAAGGACGAAACGAGTTCGAACCTTTGAACTTTTGAAAAGTTATTTTTGAACTGTTGATTTTAATGTAATAATGAATTTAATCTGAATCTTAAATAATATTTAACTTTGTACAATCTCAATAAGCAGTCATCTCTTAATGATGCTAACTTTGTTAGCGAAAAGAGCGGCGAGAGACGGTAATTTTGCTGTGAGAAAAGTATTTTCAATAGATATACTTGCAAAATCGAGAAAATAAACAAAGCTAAATCAAGTTACGATAAGTTACTGACTAATTGGACTGTTCAGTGGGTTACATTACGCGGTAACCTTTCGGGATGAACTTTTCAGTTTTCAGTTTATTACACTTCAGCAGATTTTCCATTGATTCAGCTTTGTTTGCTTTTCAGATTGAGGAATGTTAAATAGGCCCAATAATCCGTTCAAATCATACGAAAAATAAGAGTAAAGCTACCTAAATTCACACCAAGCTGAAAATCATTGAGATTATTCAAAATATGATTAGAAATGAAATTTGAAAGTTTTCCATCCTTCCCCTGTATGGAGAAAATTTTATTCAAGGTCAAAGGTTGAAAAATGAGTTTTTCGCGATTTTCAGCAAAACGATAAGTTTTATCATGAAAATACTTCAGACAAAAATTGTAGATTTTTCTATCGGTCACCGTAATTTACACGTATAACATCTGCATTTTACGGAAGGGTAAAATAACAGTTTTCAAAATGTTTGAAAAACAAAATTTAGTTCAATGTGCTGAAAAAAGAAATTATCACTAACGGCATTCGCTTTCTTCTTTCTATGTACGAAGTTCGTAAAAAAACTACCTGCTTAGATAAGTATAGATATGCATGTTTCGTTAAAAATACTAAAAGTAAAAAACAAGTACAATCACCTTGTCTTCCTCCAACCTCAGTTGCTACCCATCAACATCTTTTTCGAGTATATTACCAAGTTCAAGTATGGCTTGGTTATCAGCTAGACCAGACAGACTGGGGTTGGAAGTTGGTCAACAATTCATTAGAACTAGTCCAAACTTTACTTCCACCTGCGCCAGAAAAACTGCTGAATACAATTTTTTGCAACTGCAAAAAGAGTGCAGTGCTAAATGTGGTTGCAAAAAAGCCGGACGGTTTTGTTCTCTGGCATGTACAAATTGTCAGAGCCGGTCATGCTCTAATATTGAATCACCATCAGTGGAGGATCCGTTTGATTCCAACGAGGCGATATGCGATACATCACCATTAACGCAGTTAACATGTACACAGGACGAAGATGAAGAAGAACAAGAAGAACAAGAAGAACAAGAAGAACAAGAATTTCCCAATTTACAAAAAATACGCATTGTTTGTTCTCATTGAAATCTGTTAAAACTGTTGCAATCTGCTTTACCGTTAACCAGCTGAAAAACAGATTTTTATAGATTTCACTGCGAACATTCGATGCTCAACTTTTCAAATTAAGAATCTAGAATAACATCAAGTAAAATTTGAATACTTCATAATGGTTTTTCATCGAGTATCGGTTACTTCTATCATACTTTAGCCATACACTTTTTTCAGGAGCCCATGTTGCCAATTATCTTGCAGTTTCGCTTCGACCATACAAATTGCCAAGAATAACAGGACTGGATCCAGCTCTACCAGGATTCCTCACGCCCAATCTAGACCACAAGTTGGACAAGTCAGACGCCAGCTTCGTGGACGTTTATCACACGAATGCATTTATCCAAGGAGTTGTTGAGGAAAGCGGCCACGTTGACTTTTACCTCAACGGAGGTGCACTGCAGCCGGGATGTTGGGCTGAAAATAGTAAGAATTTTTATTCAGGGTACTGATAGTGCCAACAAGATTCAATTCTGCACTAGGAAAAACAGGAACTTACCGAAAAAAAGCCTAAAGAGATCTTTTAGTAATTCCAGTCTTTTAATGCGTGTCAAGTTATCTTTTTTTTCCTGTAATTCAGCTATGATATATTAATATCGCTCTGATCGTCATTGTTCACAGTTTTTTCAACATATCATATTGACACACAATTTTTACAGGGTTTTTCGCTTGTAACCATCACAGAGCACCGCTGTACTTTGCAGAATCCATAAACACTGACAAAGGTTTCTGGGGATGGCCCTGTCCATCGTACTTCGACTACCTTCTAGGACGATGTCCACCACACGATCCCCAAATAATAATGGGCGATCTTGTTAAGAGGTCTTCCACAGGGGTGCATTTGGTGATAACAGAATCTGTTTCTCCCTACGCCGTTGGAAAATACGACGGACCTAGCATTGAAATATACCTGAAGTCGAACTTGTATAGGAAGGATATCTTGAAGAAATACAGGAGGGAACTTCTGGAGTTCATTGATGAAGACGATCTTGTTGAAAGTTTAGGAAATGGTCAAGAGGAAATGAATGATGAAGATTATTTTCCATTAACCGATTCACAATTTGTTAACGTTGTTTGAAATTGAACACATACTTTAGCAACTAAAAGTTATCTTAACTTGGATACATCTCTAAATTTCAAGCAATATTTTTTCGGAAAATTCTAGTAAATTTTTAGAAAATTGACCTGATACTGAGAATTTTTCTTGGAATAGTTAGTATTTGCTTTTTATGATTTTATTACTTGAGTATTTTTTAACAAAATGTAGCAAATTTTCAAAATATTGAACTTTTGTATCAACTGGTTGAAAATATTGATCACAATACAAAATTAAAATAGGTATATTTTTAGGAAAGATTCATCTTTAGGAAAGAAAGGTTTAGGCTTTCTACTTCTTAATCTTTTAACAAAAAAATTTGAGAATCATCCAAAAAAAAGGAAGGAAGTAATTATTTTTAAAATGAACTTTCCACAAAGATGTGTGGATCATGTAAAGAATTCTCAGACTGAAAGTGTTTGAAAGTTACTTCTTGATAAACACATATTTGAAAATGATTACTTTGTTCCTTTCTTTGGAAAATCCCCAATTTTTTTGTATACAGATGGAGAAGTAGATAGCCAAAACGTTTCTTACCAAAACGATTCTTACTGTTACTACGTGGTAGGAGATCATAATGAAAAGAGAAATGAAAATTTCTATGTTTTTACCACTTTTATTTGTAACTAACGTTACTGCAGTTTCGTCCTGTATGGACATTCTCAAACTTATACAATAAACGTATTCTATAAGTATATTGTATAAGTTTGAGAATGTCCATATAGGACGAAACTGCATTAACGTTAGTTACAAATAAAAGTGGTAAAAAACATAGAAATTTTCATTTCTCTTTTCGATATCAATAAAACGTTTTGTACAAAAGTGGGTCTGGAAAAACCTGCAGCACCACATCATCTGAAGATCTTGATTTGCCAATGTCCTCTCTCTCATAAAACAAAATGTAGGGTGTCTCTAGAGGCTCCAATAAATTCAATAAATCGCTAGAACACTTAGTGACACACCAGATTCAACGCCAGAACCACAGTGAACAATGACTGCATGAAGATTATGATAGTGGTCTGATAGATTGAAGTGTTCATCTATTTCGAACCTTCGTAAGAGTTCGGTGCTTTCGTCATGTTTGAAGATCATCAATGTTATTATTAGATTGACTGGTGCCTCAGCTATACTTTCTTATTACAGTCAGTTATTTTGGCGCATGTTTGGCTGTACAGTCGATCATCACCTGTTAAAAGTTCCATTTTCAGATAATTCAACAATAAGCTTTGCACGGACTGGTTATTAGTCGTATTAGGAAACGCTAGGTGAAGTTCCAGAAATTCACATACGTTTTTGCTACTTATTGAACATTTACTACAAAGTAAACAAGCGAGGAATTTTCCTAGCAAAATATTTACAAACACAAGACTAGATAGACTGTACGGAATCATTCAATCCAGAGCGGTCAGGAGTACATATTCTGCTTTTGTTTTGCTCACGAACAGTATTCAACAAGAACCCCAAAAATTCGGAACAATCCTCTTGTTGTCCTAACGAGTATGTAGTGGACTTCAAAGACTCCAGGAAATCGGTTGGAGGGAATGATGATACATTCTTACGAAACTGCAGCAAACACCTGTTCATGTGTTTGAGTTTGATAAATAAGTAGGAAACATTCTCGTTCTCGTTCATCATTAAAACCTCGTTCTTGAAATTCTTCGTCACGAGCAACACTTGTAAAATGCAGTTCATGTAGCAAGTGTTCCCTAAATTATCTAATCCAATTTTCTCCTCAAGATTTTCAGGACAACTCTACTGATTCATAAGAAAGAACATGTTTCATAGAATCTGCTTAAAGAACCATTTCTCAAGCTGCTATCCTTCCAAGTGATAAAGGGTTTCGTAGAGGGGTCGATTCGGCTCTTGCTTCACGAAGGGAACCAGAACCACAAGGACTGCAGCTCATATGTGTGGACCAAGAATGACCTAAGTCCATTGATCGCACTGAAAAAGAAGAAGGTGGATCAACCACTTGCGAATTAACCTTGATATGAGACTGATGAATATCCACATATCTCGATTTGTTTCGAAGAGATTATGTGAAGGAGGAATAGTTCCAAGGACCGAAGCAGCATTACCACGTTGAATAGCAATACTAATTCTTTCTATCAAAAAAGAGGTAGAACGATTATCTTTCATTGCTTGGCCTATTATCCTTGCGAGTTCATGAATAACAGAGACTCCGGGCTATAAACACCAAAAGTTTCCATAGCTACTGGATGGAACAAATAGTTGTTACCAAGATTTTGGTATTTTTTTTCGTTTCAATTTAACGCCAGACAATGCTGCGGTTCCAGCAGACTTCGAATTTTCGGTTAGATGGGAAGCCGCGTTCGTGTCAACGCAATTGAAGTCACATACCACAGGTTTACCGTATTCCATGATATGAGAGACATACCATCTGGTCGTTTACGATCATCTCGACTGGTACCTAAGGGTTCCAGAATTTCAGGAACATCCGCTGACACCATAGCTCGTTTCAATATGTCGTTTACCTGGTGATGTCGAGATGTACGCTCTGCACTTCTTCTATTTAAATCATTATAATATCGATTCAGGAAAAGGGTCTCGGAAAGTTTATTCAACAAGAACGTCATTTTTCAAGTAGACAGCTCTTGAAAAGTCGAAGGTGTATTGCGTTGAACCTTTGAAAGATAGTCACTCTAATACCTCACCGCTTTTGAGGAAATCAGGTTATATAAGTTATTGTATCATTTCTCTTGTATCATTTCTCTACAAAAAGGGGGCAACTTCCCAACTTTCATTCAAGTTTTATCAACGTTGAGATGTTTGGATCTCCATGATATTTATGAATACAAAAATCATCAAACTATCATAGATTTAAGTATAATAATTGAGAACAGCGCCATAACATTTTTATTGAAATTCCCGGTTCCCTCATCAATTCTTACACATTATTTAATTGTGATTGGCTATTTATTTGAAAAATATGTTTTTCTGATGGTCTATGTTCATCCAACAGTTATTTAATAAAAATTAAAGAATCAAAAGAAGTGGTTACACTAAACTCAATAAATAGTACCTACTGGAATGTAATTTGAAGTTATTTACGTGTTAGTTGACTGCTTGTTTTTCTTACTTTGTTTTACTTTTCATCATTAACAAAGTGTCCAATTCACCCTTTCTACTTTCAAATTATACACATTTAATATCACACGTTTTTTCTCACTCATTTCAAAGTTAGAAATATGACTTATTAACTTACAACTTCGCTCACGACTCAAATTATAACTTAACGCTTAACTTAAGACTATTCACTTTCACTTCTGACTGTTGCGCTACTGCCAATGCAAAATATGACAGTGTTAGGAATCACACGTTAAAAGGTAAGACCTCGTTAATCCTTAGCTCGCACAAGTTTCGACTTCTGAGGGTTGTCGTTCGTAGGGGTGCG